AACGTATTATCGCTTTTAAATATGATGAAGATCAGAGTCATACTGCTGCATTTATAAGTAGTATTATTTGTGAAGTTGTTGATTTTATAATCTCAAGCAAAAAGTATTGTGTATGTCTTTTGATAATGCCGCAATTTCAATATTAAAATTGCATTTGAAACCACCTCTTGATGAAAATTTTCATGTTAGGTGTGCGTGTCATGTTTATAATTTAATTGTTAAAGTGACCTTGATTTATTTTCAACTGAGATTACTCATGTTAGAAGAGCAGTTGGTGTTATTCAAGGAAATAATAGACAATCTAGAATAAAGGAATTTAAGAATAAGTGTGTCCAGTATAACCTTAAACCTAGATTCATGTCAGACGAAATTGTTACTAGATGGAATTATACATATATATTTTTAAAATGTTGCTACAAATATAGATTCCCAATAACTGAAGTTGCTAATGCGCATTGTACTGATCCAAACCGTATGTTAACAACTACTACTTGGGAGGTCATTAATGATATTGTTAAATTTTTACATAAATTTTATACAGCTACTGTTGAGTTTTCTAGAGCATATTACCCTACTGTTACTATGGCTTTAGTACATATAGCTGAAATTTCTTTTCTACTCTTTGAATTTAAGAAGAAAGAAAAATATAGGGATGTTATTGAAAAAATGCAAGCAAAATTCAAAAAATATTTCTTTCCAATTCCTCCGATTTACGTAATTGGTGTTGTTTTAAATCCTTCTATTAAGATGTCTGATTGTCACCAATTAATGAATGTTTTATATACTTATATGGAGTTTGTTACCAACTGAAACCCCAAATTTATATACTTGTATGAACAAAGCTAAATGAATATTTACAACAATTATATAATTATTATGCAAATATAATTGATGATGTTGCTCGTAGTGTAGGCAATGTTAATCCCACTATGCATTGTACCACTTCTGCTACTGTGGATGATGAAGAAGGCCTTGATAGTTTTAATATTTTTTCTACATTTTCTAAAACTCAAACCAGTAGCAGGAACATTGATGAACTTCAATTCTACTTGCAGAAGTAAAAAGAGCCTCGCACAAAGGAATTTTCACCGTTGGGATAGTGGCATGAGAATGGAAAGCAATTTCCTATTCTTTTCACTATGGCTCGGGACGTGTTGAATGTGCCAATTTCAACTGTTGCATCAGAGAGTGCATTTAGCCAAGCAAGACAACAACTTGGAGACACCCGTCACTTATTGGGAAGCAATGCTTTGGAAGTTTTAGTATGTTTCAGAGATTGGATTAGATCGGAACGAAGAAATCAAGGACGTGAAGATGTTGATATCCCAGAAGACATGGAACTTGGAGATATATTAACACATGGTAACCCATCCGAATTTAACACTCCAGAAGAAGATCACTCAGTTCATATTGATTATGAAGAACTTACTAAGGCAACATAAAACCTTTGAATTTACTCTTTTTTGTTTAATTTATTTGTTGTTAAATGTAAATCTTTCAATTTGTAAGTTTAAATTTTGAAATAAATGTAGCACTTGCAATTTATAAGTGCAATATTTTCCCATCTTCCTTGTATTCTTTATATTTTTACTTTGTATTAATATAACTTACAATAATTATATAAAATACAAAAAAATAACACTAAACCCAGCCCGACCCGACCCCATCAACCCGTAACCCTTACGGTTCAATTTTTACCCGGATGAACCCGAACCCGTTAAACCCGGTAGGCCCCAACCCGTAACTAGCCCGGACCATAACCCGTACGGATACTAAAATTTCCTACCCAGCCCAGCCCGGTCCACCCGTTAAACACCCATAGATTTGATGTTTCTAAATCAAGACTAGGATAAACAGGGCCAGGAGAATGAATAAAAGAAACCCTTTGTATCGTAATGGAGTTCATTAATGGATAAGGTTAAAATAGCACGGGCTATCTAGTTTTCGGAATGGTAATTAAAACATTGCCAACATTTGCAAAGTCATTGAAAAATAGCCGTTGTTTTGCTGCAACACGAAAAGTTCCAACCTAATATACTGGAGATTGGTGCACCTGTGTATGAATTTCCAGCATATTATGCTGGAACTCCAACACACGGAAAGTTCCAGCATAATATAGTGGAGATTGGAGCACTGAAAGTCCAATATATTATGCTGAATATTTTCCGGATTTTGAATAGTGTTTTCGTTCAGATTTATCTTTACATGAAAGCTAAATTTCGATTACTTTTTAAACAGTGGCTATATTTAATTTGTCATTTGTAAATCTGGCTATTTTTGAATTTCACCTCACGATAAGGGCAAATGATTTGCTCCTTTATTGGATTCATACTATTTAGCATGAGTTTGAAGCTGTAAGTCAGAATAATTGTGGGTGTCAGATGAGTTGTTGGAAACTTAAAGAGATGATCCTTTCCACAAATAAATTGATCTTGAGCCAACAACACAATTCAGATTCAAAACTTCCTAGGACAAAGTTGGAAGGCGGCCCACACATTTTAACGCCAGACATAAGATAAAGTGAATACTAATAGAAAGTGCTTTCAAATAGCAATTCATTACGTGAATGAAACAATTCAAAACAACAGACAGTCCAGCTTAATAACTCGATATTTGACAAAGCAAACCACGCTTCCACGGGTGAGATCGTATTACAAACATTATCAAGACACCAGGATAGATTGTTTTTAGTGTTATAATACAATCAACAACTGCTATACCTCATTTCAAGTTTATTCTTACAATACAAACACTATGGATCCCATTTTATTTTATTTTCCTTTCATCAAATATGATCTACTACTCGTGTGTTAATGATTTATTCCCTAAATGCCTACTCTGTGCTAAAGAAGGGGTTGGGATCTCTCCTAAAAGAAAGAATGACCTCAAGACCGTCCTACTCATTATGCTTTTCCCGTTCCTGACCCTGAGTGTGGAAGGGTTAGCCTTGAGCAAGGTTCAAGCTCGCAAGTCAGGGATACAGGATGGGCCTCTATAGTAGCCTGCAATGGAATGCAGCTATTTCTGACAGTCAAGTCAAAGTACGTATTTGAGGATTGCCTCTCTATGAGACATGTCTTCCTCCTCATTTTCCAATAACAAATTCAAATAGGCTTGACCATTCTGCTTGGGTTATTTGTGACAACTTTGTCTAAAGAAACAAATGAGATCCACAATGCCATCATCATACGGCCAATATTAGTATAGTAGTACAAGGATAGTTCTTAGGAGGATCTTTGATATTGATACAGGAGAAAACATGCTTGAATAAAGCAAGGAACCGATACATACAATTATTTTCACTAGTATACACTACAACTGCACTCTATGAAAATTATTCAGCTTCCACTGTCAGCTCATGTCTCTTTCTTTTCTCCAAAATCAAGAGAAGAAAAAATCTACAGTCCAGGCCAAAAGAATACAATCATTAAAAAAAAAATCATTCATCTGACAAATCATTACTGTGTATGACAACTCCAAAATTGCTGTTAAAGGACTCTTTCTCCCCTCAAAACTCCATTTGGTAATAAGACATCCAGTTAGAAGACTGCGCATCTGGGGAAATTGCAGAGTTATGAAGAGAATTTTCCAACAATAACTATTTTACAAATTTGTACATAAATGCGATAGTAGTCAATGACATAATTTGAGAAAATCCAATGATTTGACTACAGAAAATAAGATGATATTACTCAGAATCAGTTAGCAATGAAACTCACATGAGACATTAAGATGAAACAAAAGTTACTATCCTTCTGCAGTGCACTTCTTCCATACTTGTTACTATAAACTCTGGCACATTTTCCACATCTCTAAGCAAGCTCTCATCTCGCTGTGATATTTCACATTTCTCTACGATTCATCAAGACACTCTCCCCCTTGTTAATTACTAAACACAACCACACATCCACTTAATCGCGACGATATGAGTTAAATGTAACTGATTAGATGAACAAAGGCATCTTCAACAATGGAGCAGTAGGAGATGCAACCCATGCACAAATATAGGATATTATAGCATGCTGCTTGTTTAGATACGTTGTATAAAAGTGAGTACAACAGTATCGCACATATAAAAGAATGCGGGTGAAAGACAGTAATCTCAAATGCTTTTCTTTATTACTCTTTTTCCATCTCTTTTATCTCTCACACAGCTTATCCCTGACCTCCGATTCATTACAGTGTCTCTTATTATCTATTCACATAAGAGCCCAGTAACACCATATTTACCTTCAAATTAATTGTACAATATTGATGCATAGTCTTCACGTGTCCTCTTGATTGCTCCAATCATGCCTATCCAATGTTTTTGAGATGTAGACTACTTTACAAGGAATCTATTGACTAGCTTCTGCACAGAAATTTTGTGCCAGAAACTCATCAAGTTGCCCCCAATTAGGGGGATTGGATTTACTATCAGAAGGCAACGATCTGATACATCCAAGAAGATGCTGAACATCACGATACGTTCTGTTACAAGAAAAAACAAGTTAATTAGTTATAGGAGGTAACAGATAAAGGAATAAATAAGAACTCCCAGGGAAGGTTAGTAAAAATTAGAAATTGTATCATTCAAAGAATATCAAATAGTATTAATCACTAAATTATGTCTCGTATGAATAAAATTTCTCATTATACAGACACTAGACAGTACCTTTGTCTAGCTTGTTGACTGCTAAAATCCAATCGTGAGAATGCTTCGGAAATTTGTGAGTGAAAGATGATAACCACTTGCCTGCAAGTATCAGATCTTTTAGTAACCATCTTCTGCAAGCAAGGACTAATTCAAGACGTACTTATGCTTAGTATCCCACACTCATTATTAGTAATGATAATCATTGGTATAAACATATTTGGTCACAAATACCTAAAGTCCTCTTTGAAGCAAGGGACGACGAGAGAGAACAATTCTTCCAGTTTTCAAAGCCAGCATCCAGGGTATAAATTAGTTTAATCAATAAATATAACTGGGGGAGTAGCTAGGGAAAGCCATACTTGAGGATGTTTATATCAANTCTACCTCATGCAGAGTTCGAGATAACACACGTTGAAGAAGGCCGACTTCCTTCAAACAAATGAGAAAAGTAAAATGAGTTAATGAAACTTCTGATAAAACAAAGAGAACCTAAGGAAACAACAAAAAACAGAAGTAACAAGCATGTAAGAACTAAACGCAGAAACTATGCAAGACAGTGAACTCACTAGCAAGATTGCAGAAACATTAAGGGGTCGTTTGGTAGGATGCATTGGATAAGCTAATGCATGCATTAACTTTGTGTATTAATAATACATTGTTTGGTAGACATTTTGAACCTATGCATTAGTTATGCTAGCATTAGTTATATATCCTATTTGGTATTATCCTATGCATAACTAATGCATAGAAAACAATGGTATTAGCAATGCAATGGGTTTTAATGCATGCATTAGCTTAGTTAAAGACAAAATTGTCCTTCAAAATTTATGCTTGATTAAAATATGCTAGTTAGTATATTAATGCAAGTTCAAAATAATCCAAATAGTGAGAAATAAAATTATATTCCTAGTAAATAAATAAATACTTAACATATTTCCTTTTTTATAAATAAATATTTAATTTTATTTTACAATATAACAAATAAAATAATTTTTTTAAACTTTTTCATATAAAAACATTTCTCAACATATGTTTCTTTTAAAAAGTTATGGTTTGGACTAGTTTTGAGGGCATTTTTGTAAACAAACAATTCTTTTAGAAACTGTGCAATGCTTTAATACATCAAACCAAACAATGGATAAGAAATATGTCAGCATAACTAATACCAGCATAACTAATGCAAGCATAACTAATACCAGCATTACTAATACACCCTATTAAGCATTATTCTTATGCACCTTACCAAACGACCCCTAAGAGATAACTGAAGATAGGAGGACAAGAAAGACGACCAAAAATCATTGTAACATCAGATCAATTTTATTTCGAGAATGAGTCAAAAATCTTAGCTAATCTAGTTAGAAGGTAAATATTCCAAGAGGTGAGTGAACTCGTTAATCATCAATATATCAAGTCAACATGGCAATGTTCGGATTCACAGATTGGTTCATCAATATTCCAACGTGGAAGGTAGTAATCACACTTCAATAGTTTCTCTTCTTCAACTCAATTTTTCTTCTCACATCACCTTTGCACAAATGTCATGTTGATAAGCTAGAATGTATTGTTAATTGCAGAAATTTCACAAAACCTTTACTTAAAAAAGGGCAAGAACTGAGGTGAAAAAACAGTCAAGACATATCACAAACAAGCTTCTACCTTTGTGATTGAACGAGCATACTGACTTGGCTGTGAGTCAGTATCTTCTTGCCTATTCCAACTCTCAACAATTTGTGGCAAACTCCGAAGGTGTACCAGCAATCTTTCCCGCATTATCTGTACCAACTTGGAATGTATTTCATCACGATGAACTTTGTAGTCCTAATCACAGAAAGAGATTTAGAGTCAAGGATTTCCAGCCAATATCTTGGATTATGATGCTTTAAAAGTACGATGATCTCAGCATAGAAAAATATTTGACTAGGGCACGGTAAAACATAAAAGCAGTTGCGTTTATATTTTGATAAGCAAGTAAAGCAAATAAATAAAAATAAATACAAAAAATAGTGTATGGTCAGGTATAGCTCGACATGGTCCATACTTGCATAAATAATGGTAACATCTAATAAGATGCCCTTAATTCTTTTATTTACTTCCTGGTGATCTCGTACTTGTATATGGTAAGATTAAATAGGGTACTCACTCTCTTTAATGAGTTAAAAAAGCATATAGTAACAGGCACGAACAAGGTGCAAAAGTACAA